AAAAATAAAAGCGTGTATTAAAAGCTTCAGAAATATGCTTAGAGAAATATTTGTCAATCTTCGTTCTTCAAACGTTCGACTGGCGGTTGATTGAATCCAAGGCTGAAGTAATTTTCAGACACTTGTTAAATTGACAAAATTGAGGCTGAAAGATTTTGCAATGAAAACGTGTAAGCGCTACGCTGAAAGGTAGCGGTCTTCGAGTTAGTATTCCCGCTAATGCACAATCGTCGCAAAGCGTTTATTCATTGATTGAAAAAAAATAGCCAAAGAAAAGAAAACTGGAAGCGCGGAGGCCTTTGCGCCGTGCAACAAAATAGCGTGGCGGTTGGCGCGCTGCGCCTGGCGCTGCGCCGGGCGGGTAAAGGAGAGGCGGGAGCGGCGCTCGGCGTTTGCCAGAGGAAGGCGGTATGCGCGTGGGGCTCCAAGAGCGTCAGCTGCTGATGCGAGCAGAGTGAGTCAGCGGAAATGCAATCGACAGAAGTGCCGTTCGCGCGCTTTCAGCGTGCGGGCTTGCCTTGCTCGCGCGAGGCAGATGGTTGCGCGAGGCTTGCTATTTTTTTCTGTCGTAATCGAACTGCTTGTGAAATAAACTGACCGAATATGCGATTCGTAAGTCGTCAGAAATGTTAAGCATACGTCATTAAAATGGATGATTGGAAGATCACCGTTATTTAAATAATTGTTTTTAAGCAGGTTTTTTTGCAACAATTATGTGTCATGTCGAAACGAGATTTTCTCGAATATTTTTCATAAAAAATACCGTTGATTTGGAGTACATGCCATTTCTCTAAAACAGTTATATATATATATATATAATATATATATATATATTAATATATTATATATATATATATATATATTCTCTAGCAGCGGTTTGTGTTGTACATAAGAAATTGCTTGTCTGCAACGCTATACAGCATGAGAAGTTAGAAAGCTTTTGCGACTCTCGAATTTTCGGTTGCAGAGCGCGTTCAAAGAATGCAATGCATTAATGAATGTGCTCGCCAGCGTGATTGCGACGAGTGTCAAGCCGGTTCGCGTTAATTCCGCCGCGTCAATATTGCGGCGCCTCCGGTCGCGGCCTAAGGGCCAGCGGGACGCCGGCCCGAGCGCGCGGGTTGCGCGGATCGGCGGAGGCGGCGCCGCCGGGCAGCCCGGCAGACTGCAGCGGTGGATGCGAGCGCGGAGGAACGTGCGCGCTCTAAATTGCGGGTGTTATTACCGGGGCCTAAGTTATGAAGACGCGACGCCGCAGCCGTACGCAGCACAGCAAGCACGGCAAAAGCGGCGCGGCGCCGCTCACAGGCTCCGCCTGCAACCAGGCTGCCCTCGCGCTACCGCACCGCACTCGCACTGCCTCGTCGGGGCTTCTTGCGTCTCTCGCCCTATCTTCTGTTAGGCCTCTCGCGGCATCACCACATTCTCTTGCAGTGTCTAACATTCACCCTTGCTCCCCTTTACTTACACGTCTCCTAATCCGTTTTCTAATGTGCTCTCCACGGCCAGTCTTCTTGGCCGCTCCGCCGCGCCGTTGTCGCTCTGTCTCTCTTGCTGCCACCATCCCTGCCCGCCCGGCGCAGCCGCGCAGCCCCGCGCCGGATGGAAGGGAGCCCGTAATGCGGGAGACTTCGTTATTACAGAGCTCGCCTGCAGCGGGGGCGCCGGCTGCGCGCGGCTTGCGACGGCGGCGGCGGCGCGGCGACTGTAGGCGCGCGGTTGGGACGCGCTCCTGTATTGCCACGTTGGAGGTGAGGCGAATATACGGCAAAGAAGGGACGAGGGGCCCTGAAAGCACTTTCCGGTGCGCTGTGTCGTAATATCGATTCGATTCCGCCCCGGCCGGCGCCCGCACGCGTAACGATTTCAAAATGTTGGGTGACGTCATGCCCGGCGAGACGCCTCAGGCACTGCAACCGCCGCCGCCGCCGCCGCTCCCGCGCAGATGCCCAACGGGGCGAGGCATGGGGACGTTCAGGTGGCCGGAGGCTAGAGTGTGGCTGAGCAGCCATGCACGGGGAAGAGACTGTGGGGCCATCGAGTTCGTTCTTCGCCACTTGGACACCTCATTAGTTGTCCTCACTTCGCAGAGAAGTTGTGCATTTCTTTGTCCGTCGTAAATGCTGAAGTTCTTTCGTAAGTTGAAGAGTCGCGATTGCTAGCACTTCCCAGTCTCTCTTGCCTAGATGAATCTTTTGCGGTTTCTCAGTATATCACTCAGGATCGTTATTCATGAAGTCTAGTGAATTGTCATTTGTAATTGTAGAATAGTTAATCTCTTTGTTTCAAGACGTTTATTTGGTTCAATATTAATAAAAAATTAATGATTTGGTTTCTGCAGAAGAATGAAAATATTTTTGTCATGTGTATGTGTTTGGCGCAGAGGTATTTTTGAACGTGGATAAAAATGGAATGAAATAGAAAAATGTCACTTGATAGTTTTAAGACATAGCACTTACTTTTCCATTGTACGAGAAGCTCAGCGACGGCATAAGAGATATTTAGATAGCCAACGATTTGAAGTGCAAGTTAGCAGAGGTGATAGTGCTCTATGTTCTCTACTTTGCATACACTTCTGAGTTGCAGTATATCGCCTGTAGAAGTTTTAAGAGTAGCGAGAAGAGCTCGACAAACTTGGCCCTACGTCTGGTAATTGATGCAAATTCGAAATAGAAGTAGGGAAAACTCGTTTAAGGCAAGAGTTTATTTTAGTATGAATTCTCTTTATTGTGCCGGAAAGTACAGTTGGGTTCACTTTGTCGTATTGATCAGCGGACTTGGCTCGTTTGGGAAGTGGCAGAATTTATCGAATGGGTGTGTTTCGTGTGGTAGTAATAACTGCGCTGTGTGACGAGGCGACGCATGGCGCGGCGCGACGGGGCGTGGGAGGCGGAGGCCAGGGCCGGGTCTGGGGCGCTGCGTTCCGTCCGCCGGCGCACAAACGTGTTATTTCGCGCTCATTTGTCGTCCTGCCTGCGCCCCCGACGCGTGCACCCCCGCAACCCCGCACCTCCCTTCTCCCAGCCGCGCGCGCGTCTGTAGGACAGTCGTTATCTCCCCCTGCCTCCACACACGCAGGCTTCAGTTACCTACAGCCAGCTCCAGTAATGGTTATGAAACTATGGGCGTGGCCTGTTGTGAATACGTGGTCGTTATTCAGAGGCAGCGCCGCAGGAAAACACAAAAAAGAAAGGAAGCTCGCGAAGAAGCAAACGAAGAAAAGAAGCCTCCTGCAGAGGTTCTCGGCATTATTCTTGTGACAGTTGCAGGGAATTCGTAAACGGGACGTTAGCAAGTAAATGAGGCGACCTCTTAAAGTCGATCTGTACATAGCGAGCCATGGCACCAGCTGCGGATTATGAAGCCATTGCTGGGGGATGAGGTGAGAATAGTTAAACTGATAGCAGTCATAAGCAAGGCAGCCATACGGTGCGATCGATCTTTCAACGCCAATGAAATGTTTATATGAGAAGCAGTTTTGGTGTACTGAACTGGAGATGAAAATCCAAGCTTTAATACCTCTCTTCATAAATGTCGATCACTGGAGATGTATCACAAATCAAATGGTCAAAATTATACTATTTTTTATCAGAATTGTGGATCTCAAATGCATACACTATAAAACTTGTATAAAAGTTTGAGATTTCCTCATTTTTTTGAACCGTATTGTAATAGGGTAAAGGTCTCAATTTTACAAATACTTCTGTAGTAATAAAGTGGTATATACTTATTCGGAATTATTCTAAAGCTTTCGTAAGAAAGGAAAAACACGAATTATTTCAAAGAAATTGTATTGAACATGTAAAATAATTAAATATCAATGTTTTAGATACACACAAATATTGAAATGGAAATTTCTATACATTGTAAGTATAACGATGTTCGTTAAATGTCACCAAATTATTGCACATTTATTGATTGATTTCAAGCGTGCGTTTGGTAAAGAACATTATGTTTTTCCATAGTCCGCGTGTGCACGTATATTACATTTAGAATCCCCGAGGAGCAATTTCGATAACATTTTACATCATTTAGATTTCGGCACTTTATCAGGCTATTTCAGTATCAATAGTGATCGCGTCAACAGAAATGACACATTTTATGATTACTGATATCCGCCCCCTGGGTTTACTCAATTAATTATATTCGGAGTGAAGAAATCCTTTGAAACACAAATCATGTTCAAAAAGCCAATTATTATGTAATGACGCGTGCGCCGTTGGACTGACTACGGCCGGGCACTTTCGCTGCAGCGTGAAGTGCGCAGTGTGTTGGGGCGAGATCAAATGGAAATAGAATGAGCCCGAAAGTTGATGTGTGTACAGGGGCTTCTGGAGAACTGCAATTATTTTCACATCGGCGCTCCGATAATCGTTTAGAATTCAAACACTGAATGACCGATTTCAGTATGGGAAGTGAATGGAAAGCTTAGCCATAATACGCGCCCATCTTTGTATCATTACATATACTGAGACCTCCCACATGTTAGGTACTTCTCTGCAGCATAAAGACGTCGTGAGTGAAAGCTTAGACGGGATGATTGTTCTGTATAGAATTTCGTTTGCACTTTCAAAATCACATTCCAAATTACTTAGTTTTAATTGTTATTGCAATTTTAGATAATTACTCAAATTTATAATTACAGTAGATTTTAAATGGTGTAACGCTTTCAGTTGCCTGCAAACTTTTGATCACCTGGAAAATTACCTTGCATTGCGGAAAGCTAGTTCTATAAGTTGCCGTAAGTATTTAGGATATTATACCGAACGGGTGAAAAGATGGATGAGCAATTAGGTGATAATAACATAACAAATTGTGAGGTCCTTGAATTCCAGCAAACCTCAAATTGAATTCCCATAATAATGAACACTACATTAAGTTCATAGCCCTCGCGGTTTAGCTAATTGGTCAGTGTGCTCGCTTCTCATTCAGGCAAGATTATAGTGTACATTTTCCTTGCAATGTCCCAGTGTATGTTCCTATGCGACGATGAGAGAACTCACGTCTCAGGTTGAGAAGACCAGATACGGTGTAGGGATGTCGTCGTGCCAACCACACGTACCCCTTCATAACCCATGGCCGCGAGGCCGGGACGCTGCTGGTAGGCTCTGGCCCGTTCGCGGGCTGTCGCGCCAAGTACAGACCGACATTAAGTTCGTGATGAATCGCATTCTGAATTTGTTCAGTATACTTCATCCTTCGTAAAAGTCGGTATGCATATTTTGCGCATGGACATTCCAGCCTTACGTTATGGCATATTATTCCACGAGAATTCACTGCACACCAGACTTTTAGATTATAATAACAAACAATTGTTGGAAAAATACACCAAAGCTTCCCAAGCTACCTTGCGTCTCTTAATTAAGCTTAGAATATTGCAATTGCCTTATCTGTACATTTACGAATCGTTGTTTTGGTCAAATCTGGTTTACTCAGAGGTAGGT